TGTATGCAACTTTAGACACATACACACATGAAAAGGAGGAGGAGTAGGGGTGATATGATAGCAATGTTCCAATAGCTAAGGGGCTGCCCCAAAGAAGTGGGGGTCAACCTATTCTCTAAAGAATCTGAAGGCAGAAAAAGAAGCAATGGAAGGAAACTAATCAAGGAGAGAACCAATCTAGAACTAAGGAGAAACTTTCCGACAGTTACAACAATTAATCAGTGGAACAGCTTGACTCTGGAAGCTTTTGTGCTCTCCAACACTGGAGGCTTTTAAGAAGCGATTGGACAACCATTTGTCTGAAATGGTATGGGGTTTCCTGCTTGAGCAGGGGGTTGGACTAGAAGACCTCCAAGGTCCCTTCCAATTCTGTTATTCTGCTATATATATATATATATATATAGCAAGACAGCATCATCATTAATTATTTTAAAGGAGGCTATTGAATCCACAAGTATAGCAATCTATCTAGCCCCCAATTTTATAGGATTGAAGGACTGGCCTTTCAAAAGCCAAAGGGACTCTTACCTGAGCAGAAGTGATGGCTAAAAGTTGAGATAAAAGTATTCCAAGGAAAAATAAACCAGCCATAGTTGTCGCTGTTTAATTCCTTCCAGTCCCAAGGAAACAAGAGAAGTCTTCTTCTTCCTTCAAAGCTTAATTAACTCCTTCCCTGCTAATCCAATCCACCTTTTGCTTCAGAACAAACCCACCTTCCTTCTAGATTTTTCAGAACGACAAGGAGAGGCAGATGGGTGAACCAGGAGCAACATTCAGTGAGAGGAAAGGGGGACACAAAACACCACCCAGGTTCTCCAGAAAGGTGGGGGAGAAAGAAGGAGGGGCAGAAGGGCTGGTCCAACTGTAAAGTTGGACATGAGGCATTGCATTCACAGCTCAAGATTTCTTAGAGCCTGCTGTGTGCTTTCAGCTAGAGAGCGGCAGGAAAAGAGGCCCCATTGTACACCCAAAAAAGGCTTGGTTTAGCTGGTGTATCTCGTCTATTTGCTCAAGAGAGCCTATTTCCCCTTTGCAAAATGTCCTGATTTTTCTTTAGGCTTTTCTGCACAAATATTAAGCTACTGTCTGGAGAATCCCCTGAACACAACAGCCCATCAGAGCAGTCAAAGGTGGCCCCAAAATATCCATGGATATTCTCTAGGTCAGGGGTCGGCAAACTGTGGCTCTGGAGCCGCATGCGGCTCATTCATCCCACTGTTGCGGCTCCCTGTCGCTGGATGGCACCACCATTTTGAGAGGACCTTTCGGTTGCGGGGTGTGAGGGTGGGGGTGTGAGAGCACGGCGCGCCAGGAGGCATCTCTATGGCAAGGAGCGGATTTTCCAGTCAGCTCCACAATTGATAGGGCTTTCAGTTAGGACCGGTAGAGGAAAAAGGATGCCACGCTAGGAGGAGACTCTATGATGGAGGAACCGGCCTTCCTATCAGCTCCAGAATTGAAGGGGGGCTTCTGGTTGGGACCTTTGTGGCTCCCGGTGTTTTCTTTTCTGTGGGAAGCGGGTCCAAATGGCTCTTTGAATGCTTAAAGTTGCCGACTCCTGCTCTAGCCCGTCACGTGTAGTCTGGAGGTTTGCAGGGATGAGGAATAAATTGTCCAAATGGGTAGCCAGGGATAGTGGATACATCTCTTGTGGGGGTGGGGTCAGGTGATGATGGTAATTTTTTGACAAATGGGATACGACGCTCAACAGATTCTGCAAAGACCCAATGACCTTGTGGCTTTCCCCAGCCCATTTCATGTAAGTATTAGGGTGTGTTGGACGATACGGTGGCCTAGAGGGGTGAGCTCTCGCCTCACAAAGAGGAGGCTATGAGTTCGATCCTAGATAGAGGCAGATATTTCTCTCTCTGGGCACACTGAGAACATATCTGCTGAAAAAAACTCCGCATTGGCAACAGGAAGGGCATTAGGCCATTAAAACCACTCTGCTAGCTCCATTCAGTTGCTCAGACTCCACCCCACTAGGGATTATAGGGTTGTTAAATGATGATGATAATACAATAGCAGAGTTGGAAGGGACCTTGGAAGTCTTCTAGTCCAACCCCCTGCCTAGGCAGGAAACTCGATACCGTTTCAGACAAATGGCTATCCAACATCTTCTTAAAGACTTCCAGTGTTGGGGCATTCACAACTTCTGGAGGCAACTTCTGTTCTACTGATTGATTGTTCTAACTGTCAGGAAATTTCTCCTCAGTTCTAAGTTGCTTCTCCCCTTGATTAGTTTCCACCAGGGGTGGGTTTCTCGCCCTGTTCCAACCGGTTCGGTTGGAACGGGGCCGGCGGCGTCCTCGTGCACGCACGCAGCGCATGCATGCGTACTAG